GAACACTAATCCAAACTCTTATGTCAGCAATTTTCCTCCCAAGATGTACACTTGCTGGATGTTTTATCTTGTTATCCCTTTCTGTTCCTAACCTCATGAGCATTATGTGACTTGATTTAAAAATATATATGTATGAATCAAACTAGTCTTTTTGATCATTTCACAGAATTCTTTGAGACGACCAGGGAAACCTAAGTGTTTGAGATTTCCAAGCCTGGAAAGGACTTTGAAAGTCATCTAATCCAACCCCCGCCTGATATTTGCATTGTCTATATACCAGTCTTGCCAAATAATCACCCAGCTTTTGTATGCACACTTCAGAGGACCTTGCTACTCCTTCACATAGCTGTGCTACTGAATCAAATCTCTTTTAAAAATTAGTTCTGGATACAGAAAAATCACGTTCTTCTGCCCCAGGAAAGCCCTCCCTCTGAAAATAGTCTTGTATTTATTAATGCAAGACTCCAGATGATCAAACCTGTGTTTAACATGAAAAATGCAGTGGGGAGAATCTCAAGACCAGAGAAAGCTACAAGCTAACTCTGTGAAACCTGTCAAGATGTTAAATGGTCCCAAGCATTTCCATGATTGGAAAGCATTTTTTAAAACACTCCCCATGCTTCTCATGCTCATGTGTTTTCCCTCTGTCTGGAGGCTTCAGGGGGAGAATCTATTTCTCTGCCTTCGTCAGCATCTAGAGGCCACCCATCTTCCCTGGTTTGCGGTCCCTGCACTGTAATACTCTGACCTCTTGGGTCTGTCATCACCTCTCTCACTTTTGACTCTGATCTTCCTGCCTCCCTCTTAGAATGACCCTTCTGATGACAGGATAATCTCCCTATCTCAATATTTTTAATTCGAGCACATCTACAAAGTCCCTATTACCATGTAAAGTAACATTTCCAGAGGCTATGATCTGGACATCTCTGAGGTGGTCATTATTTAGCCTATCACAATGAGTAATGAGTATATGAGGGTTTGTTCTATTCTTTTAAATGTTTGAATGAAAAAACTGAAACAAAATACTTTGACTATAAGACCTCAATTACTGAAAGAATTTGGAATTTATACTCCTTTATGTAGTTTAGATGGAAAAGACATGGCTTGGGAATTTCTCCTGTAGTTCTTATTACCACCTTATCTCCCAATCTCTTTACTCTACTCCAGCTGGGTTTTTAACATTCACCTCTCCCCCAAACCCAATCAGAGCCATGGACAACCTCCAACTTGTCAAATAACTTGTCCTCATCCAAATCGAAGTACTCAATTCACTACTCCCTTCTTATCATAGCACTTTCACTTCTAGGCTCATGCTCTCCTGGTTTTACCTCTGTCTTCAACCTCCTTTCCTTCTCCTTCGCATGATCCTAAGTGTGGGAAGGCCCTAGGTTGTGTCTCTTTTCTATCTACACTTTCCCTAGGTGGTTCTATACTCTCATGGGTTCCAAATGTCAACCCTATACTGTAGAACCCCAACTTCAGTCCTGATGACTTCTCTGAGCTTCAGACTCATATGTCTGACTGCCTACTTGAGCATCTCATTATGCCTCTCAAACTTATCTAAAACAGAACTCTTGATTTCCCCACTCACCCCATATCTATTCCTCTCCTGCATTTTCCCATCCATTCAGATGCTCAGGTAAAACCTTAGGAAGAAGTCACTTTTGATTTTACTCCCTCTCTTCCTTCACTCTGACATTAAATGCATCAACACAACCTATCAGCTCTACCTACAAAACAGCCTCCTATCTAACCTTTCATCATCATCACCATCATTATTGCTATTGCTACCATCTGGTCCAAGCTGCCAGCATCCCTCACTTGGGCTCCTTTAATGGTCCTCATTGCACCTCCCTACTCTGCTCTTGCCCAGCCCCTATGATCCATGATCCACACACTGGACCCATCAAGCAGCAAGGATTCAATCTGCAAATTATAAATCAGATGACTATATTTAATGAGGCTTTCTTTTTTTTTTTTTTATGAGGCTTTCTGTTACAGTGAAGTAAAAGCCAAATTCCATGACCACAGGGCCTAAATGATCTGCCACTTGTCTCTCATCTTTTCCCACTTGTTCACTGTACACAAGACACCTGACCTTCACTCTTTTTCTTCTTTCTGTCCCTAGAAGGTGCCAAGCATTTGCCATCTCGGGCTCCGCACTTGTTCTTTCCTTTCCTCAGAACCTTTTGACCCAGATGTTTATATGACTAGCTTCTTCTTGTCATACTCAGCTCAAATGTCTCTTCCTCCGAGGCCTTCTGCAATCCCTAATTAAAACCTTAACCCTCCCTGTCTCCTAACCTAGCATCTCATTACCAGCTCTATTTTATCATTATGTGAATTTAGCCTGCTGATCTATGTCCTGTTAACTTACATGTCTGTCTCACTTCCCTTGAGTGGAAGCTTCTTTAAGGCAAATACTGTCTTTTGTCTTGTTCAGTGCTGAATCCCCAGGACTAGGCACAGGTTAAAAGTTCAATGGATACTTCTTCAAATGAATAGCTCAGCATTTTTTTGGAGTAAATGTATGAAAAGAAAATTTGGCCTAATGTCAGATTATTATGTAATCCTAACAAACTAAAAAATTCTGATTCAGTAAATATGGGTGGGGTACAGGAATTTTTATTTTAACAAATCCTTAGGCGACCTAGGGCAGAGAATCACTCACCATAGCTTTTGGGTAACACTGGTTTCCCTGGTGGCTCAGACGGTAAAGAATCCACCTGCAATGCAGGAGACCAGGGTTAATCCCTGGGTTGGGAAGATCCCCTAAAGAAGGGAAAGGCTATCCACTTCAGCATTCTTGCCTGGAGAATTTCATGGACTGAGGAGCCTGGCGGGCTACAGTCCATTGATTTATTCACTCTTGCAAGCTTTCTGCAGGTAAGGTGGCTTAGTTTTAAACAGTAAGTTAAGTATTAGCAGAACTGAATCACTTGCCCAAAGTTCATCATTAGTTAGCAAGTGAATTCCAGAAACAAGAAAGTCTAATTTTAAACACGCAAATCTTACAAGTTAAAACACACAGATTACCTCATCTATTTTATGCTAGTCATAATTTCTTGACCTTCATCATTTGTTTCAGTCACTAAAACAAAGACTAGACTTTCATAACTCTATGAATGACTACAATGAACTGTTTGGATCAAACAAAATATATATGTTTAAAGGACTCACCAGCAAGGGAAAATGAGAAACTTAAAAGGAAAAAAAAGCTAAAGAGATTTTAGTCTCAATAATACAGTGTGTTTATAAAAGTAATCAGATGTTGCTTTGAAAGATCTGCCCTCCAAAGTGATCAGAGTTGGTGGGATGTTTGACGAGTAATCAGATGCCACTTTGTGCCCTAGCATTACACCACAGCAACAGTAGCCTGGTGATGGTGGGCTGTGATCAAATTAGATTCATGTCTGACTAACAATACATGCTAAGTTTGACAAATAAAGCTAGTTGTTTGCACTGGGAATCTGGCAAGGTGTACTACCATTCACCCGTGATACATTAAAGCTCAACTCTACCTCCACAACAACAAAAAATCTGCACTGAATCTGCTTTTTAACGGGATAAATTTCAGAAATCAGAGCTTTTGATATGACCCTGGGCAATAGGCAGCCACATTTACAAAGGGAGCACCTTGCCTTGCTCTGAATAGCAAATAGAACACATGTCAGATCCAAGATCTAATTTTATTAAAATCCTGGTTCAACTCCAGAGTATTTTGAGATGTCAAATCTGTTACACCAAGTTCCTAATTCCTTAAGGTATTCTCTCCCTTCCTTTTATGAGCCAGCAGGTCTTGCTTTAAGCTCACCTTTTATGGATGGAATATAGTATGGAGCATACCATACTGTCCAACAGAAATACAATGCAAATCATGAAAGCAAGTCATGTAAATTTTCTAGTAGCCACATTAGAAAACTTACCATTTTAACATATAATCAATACTGAAAAGTGGAGATGTTTTTCATTCATACTTTTAGGCTCTGATTCTGATATCCAGAATGCATTTTACAGCACACTTCAATTTGAACTATCTGCAATTCAAGTTGTCAAGGGTCACATGTGAGCAGAGGCCACTGTATTAGACAGTGAAGGTCTAGAGCCTTGTTACTCCATGTGTAGCCCACAAATTAGAAGCCTTAGCATCATCTGGAAATCTGTTAGAAATGTTGACTGTCAAGTCTAACTCCAGATCTACTGAATCAGAATCTATAGTTTAAAAAGATCCCCAGGTAATTTGCATGTATGATAAAGCTTGAGAAATACTGGTTTAAGGAGTCATGGGTCTCAGGTTCTTCACCTGTCAAATGGAGGTGATAATCCTTACTTGCCAGGACTACTGTGAAGATTCTTGGTTTACTTGATAGACTTTTAATAGCTGAGATTTTAATGATGGTAACTATTAGTTAAGAAGGCAATGTAATAAATGGACCTTAGAGCTGGACAAGATAGAATATACATTCAGGTTCTTTAAAGCTCTGGACCTTCAACAACTCATTTATTTAACTTGAGGCTGAGTTTTCATAACTATCTAATTTAGGGTTAATACCTACCTTCAACAAGTTACTGTTGTTGTCAGGCTGGGGCACGGCACATAGGAGGCATTCAATAGTGGCAGCCATTCACATACATATTTATATGTATATCCTACTGGCTGGGCCAAACTAGAGTAGTAACAAATGACACTAAGCTGCCTTAGTTCACATGGCCTTCCATCCCAAACCAAAGTGTTACTTCTTGTGGCTCCAGTGTATATTTCACAAGGAGACCCTAAGGACAGCAAAAACGTTTATTTGAAAAAATTACTATGTATTGAAAATATACATTAGAAATTATTACAGACTTCCATAGCATTCCCCTCCCCCACCACAAAAGTAGAAATATCCGCTTGCTAAGCTAATGCCATAGGTAAATTCAAACAAAAAGGAAAACATCATCAGCCCCCCTTCCTCATACATTAGCACTGGAGGGGGAGAAGGTCAACTTATATTTGCCAATCAATACGAATTTAACAAGTCCCAGTCTTCAACAGCAAGACACACATATTTCTGCTTTGAAGACTGTGAAGAGCTGCTCTGTTCCTTCTCTGGCTCCTCGAAAGCTCTCTTCTTGCCCTTCTTTGACTCCTGGCTTGAGAGGGCTTCGTGTTTCGACAGTGGCCCATGGCAGTCCGCGGCCTTCTCTTTATAGAACTGGAGCTTCTCGGAAGAGGTCATGTGGGCCTCTGTCAGGGGGTACTTCCCTAGGGCTTCTGTTCGAGCCCTCTTCCCATCTGTAAGGATGACAGAGGGAAGGGTGATGAGCTTGCTATGCTGGCTGCCAATGCCTGGCCAAGCCCAGAAAAATGATCCAACGGAAGTGACAAGAGGCCCAAACAGGGTGAGTTTGGATTCATTTCCCCCTCTTTTGTGTGCCTTATCAAGTAATTTACAGCATATGCACCAGCACAGGTTGAAGGTATGTACTCACAGAGAGTATCACAGGTTTACAGTCAAATCTGAGATCTGCCACTTCTTGGATAAATGATCATGGGCAAGTAACTTGTCTAAGATTCAGTTTTCTCAGACAGGGATACAAAAACTACTTCATAAGGGTGATGTGAAGATATAAGAAGTAATATATGGTGCTCAGGAAGCTCAAAAAGTGTCACTATTACTTCTCAGAATCTGGACTTGACTCTGTCTTCTAGACAGCCAAGTTTGTAGCACAATTATAGCAAATGATACAACTTTATTCTGTATCTTTTGGCACAGAATAATTTTTTCTTATTTTTCTACTTTTATTCTCTCTTCACTTCAATTTTATCCTTTAACTCCTTTCAGAAAAAATTATGGTAAAATACATAACATAAATTTAGCATTTTAATCATCTTTGAGTGTACTGTGGCACAAAGTACATTCACATTGCTGTATAAACATGTGGTGTATAAACATGTATAAACATCACCACCATCCATCTGCAGAACTTTTTCAGCTTGGCAAAACTGAAACTTGGTACATATTAAACAGTAACTCCCTACCACCCCTCACCTCAGTCCCAGAAACCATTATTCCACTTTCTGTCACTATGAACTTGACCACTCTAGGAACCTCGTTAAGACTCACACAATATCTGTCCTTTTTATTTTTTGGCCATAGCATGCAGCATGTGGGATCTCAGTTCCCTGACCAGAGATCAAATTGTGCTGGCTGCACTGGAAGTGCAGATTTTTAACCACTGGACCACCAGGGAAGTCCTAACATTTGTCTTCTGTGATCGGTGTATTTTACTTAGGATGTCCCTATAAATTTCACCCATGTTATAGAAAGTGTTACAATTCCTTTCTCCTTAAGGCTGAATGATATTCCATTGTATGTAAATACTACATTTTGTTTATCCAGTCATCTGTCAATGGACACTTGAGTTGCTTCTACTTTTGGCTACACTTTAATTCCTTTTTAAATGTTCTGTATTCTATTTTTGTATCACTGCAAATCTCTTCTGGAACAAGATGGGATATATATAAACACATATGTACATACATACATAACACTTAATAAGTTATTTTCCTGGTGCTGGTGCTCAAAGCTAAGTGTGAACTTACACTATAAGCTATATTGACAGAGTATAAATCTTGGCGATCTAATTAAGTCAATGCTATAATAATTAATCTTCCCACTGAATGAAGATGAGCTAAATGCCCAAATAATCTAAGGACAAAACACTCCAAAGGAAAGGGAATTTCTCACAGAAGTGGTGAGCTGCTGTTCGAGACTCCAAGGTTTCTTGCGGCTTCATAGCTTCCAAAGTCACACGCTCCCATTGCAGAACAATCTAATAAAATATATTTGGAAAGATGTGAATCCAAACAAAATCTCAAGTTTTTAATCTCAAGCCTTCCTTGTTCCCACCCCCTCTTTCCATAAACCAACCCCTCTGTGGTAATCTTGCTTCAGACTACGATGAGTCTCTATTTCAATCTACAAATAAACTGCATGTACTTTACTAAAATTTGAAACCTTAGTCATAATACTTTTCACACATTCCTAGGCCCGTTTTCACGCCTTAGACTATATCAACTGTAATTCAAACTCTTGTACATGTGTAAAATAACCACATTTCCATACTCTCAGGATACTTCATGATCAGTTTCCATTTTTTAAAACTGCTATAAATGTATTAGTATTTTTATTATAAGTTACTACAAATTCTTTTGAAAATCTGGCTTAGTAGAAACTACAAATAAATAAAGTTCAACAATTATTAATATTTCACATATACCATAAGTAACAAGAACTTTAAATTCCACACTTCTCATTATGGTATACAATGAAATGATCATAAAGACAGACAAACATTTGCAAGACACCAAAGCAGCACAACACATAGTTTAGGAAATCAGTTCCAGAGTTAGCTCTACCATTTACTAGCCAGGGGACCCTTGGCAAGTGATTTAATGGAGAAATTTGGAGACAGACATGGGGAAGTAAAGGGACTCCTGTTAGATGGCCTCATTTTTCTGTGTCACCTGCTGAGGATGAGGCAGGAGAATGGAGTCAGCCTGAAACAGTTTCAATAAGAGATCAACAGAAGATAGATAAAGCACCTTTGCCACGTCCTAGGGACCTAGCTGAGGCTGCATGGTGCGAAGCTGTGTGGAGCCTCAACTCACTTTCAGTCCAAGCTCTAGCTATTTTATTTCATCCTTAGCTCTGCAAGAGAGGTCCTGGTTTCTCCATTTTAGAGATGAATAAACAAGAGACACAAAGCTGCCTTAAGTTGTATACCTACTGGGTTGCCGAGCCAGGACCCCAAACTCAGGCCTCTGACTCTACAGCCTATGCTCTTTCCACAATGTCAACTGCTACCATAACCAACCACTCCAAGCCTTTATATGACCATTCCAAACTGCCCCAAGCCCACTGGATGTATCCAGGACTCTCAGCGCTACAAACTTAGTCTGACAATGGACACGTGTAATGATTTCAGCATGCATTTTCTCGACAAACTTCAAGGTAATCCTGAAACACTAACTCATCCTTCTTGCTTACCTCTAAGGAAGTGATGCTATCATGAGGTGGCTGGAAAGGTCCACCACCATGCATTAGAGTGCAGCCAAGGAAGGATCCAGAACAAAAAGCTCAGTGGGTCCTCCAGGCCTCCTCCAATCAACACTGGTTTAAAGTATCTGAAGGAAACAGGCGCCAACCACAGGCAAGCTGGCATCCACTGGTGCTCTACTTGGTTACCTTCTGAGTGCCTACTTGAGTCTGTACTTTACCAACTTGAGGAAGACCATCAAGAAGACAAGAAAGCATCAAAGGAAAGTTCAGCGAAGAAGCTGAAAATGGGAGGGCTCTGTCTGCTCAAACTAGCATGGTCTGATCTGAAAATATGGCCTCAATACGTGCCACCAGTGTTTCCACCAGTACATGAAGGGTATCAGCTTCAATAAGTTGGACTAAGTGAACTTCCCTGAATGGGTCATCTAAGACCTCTACCTTCCCAGAAACAATGCTAGCTCTCTGTACATAAAATACAATTTTTAAACTTAAACAAGAAAGAAAGAGAATGGGAATGCTAAGGATAAAAAAAAAAAAAAAAAGACATTTCCTTACTAAGGAGAGTTAAGAATATGCCCCCTAAATGGGAAAGAGTTAGACTTGAATTTTTATCAGTGTAACCTGTTCTCTTTTTCTGGTACACACACAGCTAAGAGAATCTCTCCTTCTGAAGTGGAATCACACTGGGTTTTTTTTTGCATAGCAAGCCAGAATTCATTTATTTTCTGAGTCACTTTATAAGAAGGCATTTTCTTCTAGGTCCAATAGGATGAAGTACAGTCTAGTGGCCAGAGCATGAGATGTAAGGACTAGCATCTAACAACTTTTCTCAAGTAACCGGGTTAGTTACAAATCATCAGTGTCTCGAGTCTGACTGAAGATGACAGTTCAGCCAAAGAATACCAAAAGTATTAGCATCTATTCGAGTGTTGAATGCGACACTTGGAATTTATGAAGCCATATTAACTGTAGGGGAGAAAAATCTGCCTTACCTGATCAGCCCAGCCCTCTGTCTTGCAGTTACTGTGATCAAATTCCTTCAAAGGCACTTTGGAGTGAACGAGGCCGATGTGGGTCTGAAGCTTGTGTTTGACAGCTTTGATGTCCTAGTAAGGGAAAAACAGAACACAAATGCACACACATGGTCAACACTTAACTTGCTCTCACTGGGAAATAAACACTATCATAGATACCAGCCCTTTCTAAATGTCGACTGGCAGAAGCAAAATATCAAACTGTATGTTTGTGAAAGCAAGAGAAGGGAACAGAAATCCTACCTTGAGTCCCGTCCCAGAGATATCTAAGCAGTTGAGTTTTCTAAAAGAAAAGAGGTATCCAATTCCCGCATCTGTTATCTCAGGGTTACCTAGATGCCAAAAACAAAGGTAACATTCTGTTACAGTTATAAGTATTGTTAAAATGCCAATGATAAGCTCAAGAAAAAAGGCCAAACAACGATAAAATATAAAATATTGAGAGAACAAACTTTTCAGAGTAAATTAAATATGGGAATCTATCTTTCCTATAAGAGCCACACGAGATGATCCTTAAGATCTTTTATAGCTCTGAACTTCCTAGGAGTTAGGGGTTAGCAGAGAAATTAATGAACCAGATAGCTACTACAAAGGGTTTAATTTGGAACCACATGAAAACAGCATATTCTAAACATGTAAACAGGTATATTAGATTCTGTTCATAGACATTTCACCTCCAAAGTAAAATATTTTAATAAGATTTTCAAGGATATTTAGACACAAAGACTATCACTGTCTTACTAACCTGCATTAAAAAAAAATTATTATTTATTTATTTTTGGCTGTGCGGGGTCTTTGTTGCGGCACGGGTTTTCTCCAGTTGTGGCAAGGTGGGCTACTCTACAGTCGCAGTGTGCGGGCTGCTCAATGCGGTGGCTTCTCTTGCTGTGGAGCCCAGGTTCTAGGGCATGCAGGCTTCAGCAGCTGTGGTACACGGGCTCAGCAGTTGTGGCCATCGGGCTCCAGAGCACAGGCTCAAGAATTGTGGCACATGGGCTTAGATGCTCAGTGGTATGTGATATCTCACAAACCTGTATCTCCTGCACTGGCAGGTGGATTCTTTACCACTGAGCCACCAAGGAAGCCCTGCATTTTTTAAAAAAAATCCTTTCTTACATGGCATCTTCTCATATCAGAGAGTACTGCATGTAGCACTGGGTCCTCAAGAGCATGAGCACAGTGCTGGCACATTGCAGACACTCAAAAAAAAAAAATCTGCTAAATGAATACACTTCCCGGGGAGGAAGGGAGGGCATTATTATTTTCATCTTACAGAAGCCAAAACCAAGGCTCAGAGAGTTTAAATAACTTGCCCAAGGGCACACAGTAGCAGAGCAAGGAGTGTCCTCTGACTTTAAAGGCCTGCTCTCTCTACTCTTGACACCAACCATCCTGCCACGTATTCAATACATGCTCAGTTAAATCATAACTGATCTTATAATCTTTCTACTACTGGGATCAGTATCTGGTTCATCTTGAGTAAGTATCAAAATTGTCAATTTATCCAGATTTTCACCAAGCAATTATTGATAAGAAATGACCTAGCTGACAGACACTATCAATCAGCAACTCAAAGGTAAGTAAAGATGAGCCAAATGTCCTCTAAGCTGTGGACATACAGTGAATATGACCTCTCTGCAGAGAATAAGCTGCACGAGTGAATCCATAAGGGCTTTTACTACCCTACAGAGTGGTACCATGGCAGGAAAGGTATCTGGCCAGGAGATAACAGTCTCCTGCTTTAGTCATGCTCTGCCACTAACTTGCTGGGGCACCTAAGAATCACCCCTCAATTTTATCACCTCTCAGACAAAGGGGAAGAACTAGATGATTTCTCTAAGTCCATTCTTCCAATATTAATCATCTATAACTGCTAACAGAACTTACAAGACAAATCTAGTAACGACAGATTTTCAAGGCCCCTCTTCATCACTCGGACTGGTGCTGTCATTTTCCGCACCCCAGCATCAGATAAACAATTATCCTTCAGGCGGAGTTGAGTTACACTAGGAAACAAAGTCCATGAGTAAATTACTTAAAAAGCATTTGAGAAAATAAAAATATAAACTTCATTTAAAAATGTATCTTCTAACCCTCGCTATTTCACACTTAATGCATTTAACAGAATTAAAGATCCTTTTGATGCTACTTCAGTTACTATGGAGGGTTAACTTGAGACCAAAGAAGCATGTAGTACTAGCCTCAGATGGTAGAGGGCACTAAAGGTATACGGAGCAATGAGGTAAGCAGGGACTTTATTAAGAAGATAAATACACTTGCCTCACACAAAACTGCCTTCTTGACACATGTTGTGTCAAAAACATTCTAAATGTTGGGACAGTCTGCTAAAGAACTCCTATGAGAATTCTCCATATAAAGCACAATTCTTTCATTCTAATATTTTATAAATCCAATTTTCAGAATGGATTTATAAGGTATAGCCATAAGGCAATCCATTCAGCTAAACTGTACCTGGTGTGTTAATGTGCTCCACTGTCCCACATGCAAGAGATCCAAACTTTTATCAACCTCATGTAAAAATACCTTTCTACAAGGCAGTATGCCGGTCTCACTTCCTAGGCAGGCCTGAGGGAAAAGATTAGACTCAGGTTTTTAGTGCTTTTGTCCTTCTGGGTATTTATGAAACCATAAAGGAATCCATCTGACCTCTCTGCAAGCCAGACTGAGATCAGTCAGACTATTTAATGAAGGGTGTGAACTGGGTGATTTCTTTAAATTATGGTTCTTGCAAAGAATTTCTATGGTTGTCTTTTAATAGTTCACTTTTTAAATGATTTACAGTTCAATGACAGTTAAAATAGAAAATGATAATGATTGCAAAAATTATGTAACTTCTCATCTCTTGCTAAAATAAATCAGGGCAAAATCATTTTTCAACCCAGGTAGTGTCAAGTACTACATGTCAAAATAAATTTTATTTAGATAAATGAACCTACTGACTTACTTTCCTGAGTTGTCCAATCAACACTGCTTGTACCAAGTAAATGGAGACTGAAACTGTTTTAGAAAAAAAAGTTAGCAAATAAACACAGGACTGAGAAGTAATTAACATCCTTCCCACTGGATCAACCTTTAAAAAACAATTCATTTACAAATGGTGGAGGGTCATTACCTAGACAGGGCCTCATTGGTGAGATGTTCTAGAAGTTCATGCTCATCTCCAAGCTTGCAACACGAAAGATCCAGACAGGTCAGCTCCCGGAAAGACTTAATCTCCTCGAGTTTTTCTGAAATCACCAGGTATCTGTCGGGCATGGACAGCAATCATACAGCTTTTCTTTTCCTTCTTTTAAAACATCACCATGTGTGGCTTTGTAATACATCAACATTCCATCAGGATAAGATACTATGTAATAAGCAGACTTTACTGATTACTATGTAGGCACAGGTTATAAAAACTTTAAATAAATACATAAACACATACAAGCAAAGGCAAGACACGAGAGAAAATATCTGCTTTGTTAGAAGTCAGACCTTGGGGTCAGTGTTGGGACTTTTTCAGAGAATTTCCAAACTTTAGGATACTCATAATTTTAACCACTCATTCTTTTAAAGTTGCTTTTTACTTAATGCTAAATATCTAGTGCTTTGAAAACTGGAACAGGCCAAGAATTCTGGGTTCTAACCTGTACATGCCCAACAACATACCACATCAAAGATTTATTTGTTACATCAGGTTTTATCTTCTCTACTTGAGTAGCTGCCCACTCCCCAGTGCCACTGTTAGCCTGCTAACTTTACTCCAAAGTTATGTGCAGCATGACTATGACAAGACCTCATTCCAAACTAGATGGCTATTAAGACAAACCTGTGAGCATGAACACTTTAATTACACTGGGCACCAGGCTAGACTGCTATCGTGGAGTATCAGAAGGCCTCTGCAGAGGAAGAGAAGATTAAAAAGGCACTGCTGTGGTCTCCACCCTGCTTTCTAGTTGTCCATCTATTTCATATGAGGTCAGCAAGAAAAAATGAAAACGGATTAGAAGTGACAGGAAACAGGAGAGGAGCCTAAAAAAAAAACAGGGAGAGGGAAATGCCTGTGGCAAGAGCATGCCTTTCTCATCCATTTTCCTCATAGATGTCTAGAAGTTTTCATAGTGAGATGGTTCACTAGGATCAGTGGGCTTATATTTAAAAGTATTCACATTTCTCTTCTGTCACCAGGATCATAATTATCAAAAAGAGCACTGAATAATCCAAGGACAAGAAGGGCGTCTGATCTCTTTTCTGCCTACTTCCAATCAGAATAAGATACATTGAAGCTGATCACTGGCCTGACTGCTGGATACAGATGGCCAGGGGCATTGATACCCCCTCTAAGCTGCCTGGTGACCAAGCTCAGCTGGGTACACAAATGAGCCTTATTTATTCAGACATATTTTAATTACACTGTAAATAGTTTCTGTTTTCCATCTTCCAATCACAGAGTTGAAGTGGGTTAATGGGGATTTGGGGATTAATGGCAATTAGAGAAAGGAAAACACACATCCTTTGACCAATTAACTAAAAGATTTTTAGTAATTGTGAGACACGGGTTATCTGGGAAGGACAAAACGATGTAGAACATGATTCACAAACATTACAAAAATCAAGACTAAGAAAGAAACAAATCGTACAAAGCCACAGACACTACTAGATGCTTATCTAGGACATAAATGAAGCTCTAGGGTCTTGCTGAAAATTAATCTTCCAACTTTCCCTTTAAAAAGTTCAGAAGAATGTAGTGGAGAAGCAACAGAAAGAGCACAGTTTAGTGTCAGACCTACCTGAGTCTGGATTTTAGCAAGGCTAATTATTTGTATGATTGTAAGAAAGTTACTTAACCTCTGCAAGTCTCAATTTCTCCAGCTAGAAAATGGAGCTGATGATTATTTTCTTTAAGGATTATTAATAAAATTATAAAAAAAAAGTTTCAAAAGTAAACAGCATCTTACAGGCCCTCATTAAATGGTGTGTGCTTGTACTCAGTCACGTCTAACTCTTTGTGAGGCTATGCACTGTAGCCTGCCAGGCTTCTCTGTCCAGAGGATTTCCCAGGTGGTGATACTGGAGTGGGTTGCCATTTCCACCTCCAGGGGGTCTTTCCTACCTGGGTTGAGCCCTAGTCGCCTGCGTCTCCTGCACTGGAGGCATATTCTTTATCACTGAGGCACCTGGTAGGCCCCATTAAATGGTAGCTATTAAAATTACTTCAGTTACAAAGGGTGATATTATAAGGAAAACATACTTGCCTCCTGTGACCATCAGTGGGATTAAAAATCAGAGGGAAGAGATGGTTTTATAGGTTGAAACATATAGACAGTTTTCTCCTTTTGGCAGGCAGCTTTGTGACCCAACCCCAAACAGCAAGTGCCTGCACTTAACCAATTACCTTATTTTTCAATGCTGGTAAAACCTTTGTTGCTGCAGCTTCAGCTGGGAATTGCAAATGCAAACCCAAATCTCCTGCCCTCTTCCTATTTCCCTTCAGGGATTCAAAAGAAGGGAAGTTTTCAATCACAACTGAAAATCCTACCCTTATATTTGGGTAAGACAGCACTGTCTTATTACTTATTCAAAATTGTTGAAATAAAATGAGTCAAGAGAGAAACATTAAAAATGTTTCTCATATTTTTCTGATTATAAGGAAAACATTCCCTGAAAAACAACTAAAGTCTGGAAAATTAATTCCAATTTCATTATCTAAATTACATTTCAGTGAGCTTCCCTCTTTTTCCCCCTATATATGCAATGCATATAAAATTTTCTATTTTTTTCACAAACAAAATTGGGATCATATATGTAATTTTAACTATTCTTTTTCATTTGTTATATAATGAACATTTTACCACATCATTTTAAATGATCTTTGGATATTATCTTAACAGTTACACGATTACTTAATTTCCTCTAGTTGGATATTTGGCTTCCAGGTTGTCACTATTACAATTAGTACTACATTGAACATCCTTATGTAAAGTATTTGTTCTGATATTTGATTATCACATTAGAAACTAGAACAAACTCTTAATAAATGAAACTGCTGAGTCAAACAAAGGATACAGATATTTTTAAGGCTTTTGCTACATACTGCCAAGTTGCTTTCCAGAAATGCTACATTATGTGCTCATTAAATGTGAATGAAAGTGCTATTCTCATCCAATTTGACCAGTGGAACAGTATGCAGACATCACATGGGATAAAAAGCATTTTCCCCACTGTGAGGAATACCTAAGCTATAATTGTAAATGGAGGAAAAAGCAAAATACAAGTTATAGAGTATATTCAGAAATGTACAAAGATACATTATTTGAAAATAATTACCATGAATGATCTCCAGTATTCTTGCCTGGGAAATTCCACAGAGGGAGAAGCCTGGCAAGCTACAGCCCCATGGGAATGCAAAGAGTATGACATGACTTAGTAACTAAACCACCACCACCATGAATGATGGAATTATAAACTTTATTAAACAGTTTTATGTTTCTCAAACAGTATGTATTTGCCTTTATAAAATAATTTTAAAGCAATGTTTGTATCATAACTATTTTTCATTGTTCTAATTTTTCCACAATGAACATAAATAACTTGGAATAAAAAAATGGAAGGAGTAAAACATACTTTTTCCCTTCTTTTTATCATATGCCTTTTGGTTCAGTTCAGTCGCTCAGTTGTGTCCGACTCTCTGCTACCCCACGAACCATGGCACGCCAGGCCTCCCTGTCCATCACCAACTCCCGGAGTTCACCCAAACTCATGTCCATTGAGTTGGTGATGCCATCCAACCATCTCATCCTCTGTCGTCCCCTTCTCCTCCTGCCCTCAATCTTTCCCAGCATCAGGTGGCCAAAGTACTGGAGTCTCAGCTTCAACATCAGTCCTTCCGATGAACACCCAGGACTGATCTCCTTTAGAATGGACCGGTTGGATCTCCTTGCAGTCCAAGGGACTCTCAAGAGTCTTCTCCAACACCACAGTTCAAAAGCATCAATTCTTCAGTACTCAGCTTTCTTTATAGTTCAACTCTCACATCCATACATGACCACTGGAAAAACCATAGCCTTGACTAGAAGGACCTTTGTGGACAAAGTAGTATCTCTGCTTTTTAATATGCTGTCTAGGTTGATCATAACTTTCCTTCCAAGGAGCAAGTGTCTTTTAATTTCATGGCTGCAGTCACCATCCGCAATGATTTTGGAGCCCCCCAAAAATAAAGTCAGCCACTGTTTCCCCATCTATTTGCCATGAAGTGATGGGACTGGATGTCAAAATCTTAGTTTTCTGAATGTTGAGCTTTAAGCCAACTTTTTCACTCTCCTCTTTCACTTTCATCAAGAGGCTCTTTAGTTCTTCACTTTCTGCCATAAGGGTAGTGTCATCTGCGTATCTGAGGTTATTGATATTTCCCCTGGCAATCTTTATTCCAGCTTGTGCTTCTTCCAGCCCAGCGTTTCTCATGATGTACTCTGCATATAAGTTAAATAAGCAGGGTGACAATATACAGCCTTGATGTACTCCTTTTCCTATTTGGAACCAGTCTGTGGTTCCATGCCCAGTTCTAACTGTTGCTTCCTGACCTGCATACAGGTTTCTCAAGCGGGTCAGCTGGTCTGATATTCCCACCTCTTTCAGAATTTCCCACAGTTTATTGTGATCCACACAGTCAAAGGCTTTGGCATAGTTAATAAAACAGAAATAGATGTTTTTCTGGAACTCTCTTGCGTTTTTGATGATCCAGCAGATGTTGGCAATTTGATCTCTGCTTCCTCTGCCTTTTCTAAAACTAGCTTGAACATCTGGAAGTTCACGGTTCATGTATTGTTGAAGCCTGGCTTGGAGAATTTTGAGCATTACTTTACTAGCGTGTGAGGTAAGTGCAACTGTGAGGTAGTTTGAGCATACTTTGGCATTGCCTTTCTTTGGGACTGGAATGAAAACTGACCTTTTCCAGTCCTGTGGCCACTGCTGGAGTTTTCCAAATTTGCTGACATATTGAGAGCAGCACTTTCACAGCATCATCTTCTAGGATTTGAAATAGCTCAACTGGATTCCATGACCTCCACTAGCTTTGTTTGTAGTGATGCTTCCTAAGGCCCATTTGACTTCTCATTCCAAGATGTCTGGCTCTAGGTGAGTAATCACACCATTATGATTATCTGGGTCATGACGATCTTTTTTGTACAGTTCTTCTGTGTATTCCTGCCACCTCTTCTTAATATCTTCTGCTTCTGTTAGGTCCATACCATTTCTGTCCTTTATTGAGCCCATCTTTGCATGAAATATTCCCTTGATATCTCTAATTTTCTTGAAGAGATCTCTAGTCTTTCCCATTTTATTGTTTCCTCTACGTCTGTGCATTAATCGCTTTTGGTTAGCCTGTTTTAATGGTCATATTGATTGTGCATCTTTTTTTTTTTAATTAATTATTTATTTATTTTTATCACAACCATAGTGTATCTTTTTTTTTTTTTTTACATGTATTCCCCATCCCGGTCCCCCCTCCCACCTCCCTCTCCACCCAATCCCTCTGGGTCTTCCCAGTGCACCAGGCCCGAGCACTTGTCTCATGCACCCAACCTGGGCTGGTGAACTGTTTCACCCTAGATAATATACGTGTTTCAATGCTGTTCTCTTGAAACATCCCACCCTTGCCTTCTCCCAGAGTCCACAAGTCTGTTCTATACATAGGAGTCTCTTTTTCTGTTTTGCACATAGGGTTATCGTTACCATCTTTCTAAATTCCATATATATGTGTTAGTATACTGTAATGGTCTTTATCTTTCTGGCTTACTTCACTCTGTATAATGGGCTCCAGTTTCATCCATCTCATTAGAACTGATTCAAATGAATTCTTTTTAATGGCTGAGTAATATTCCATGGTGTATATGTACCACAGCTTCCTCATCCATTCGTCTGCTGATGGGCATCTAGGTTGCTTCCATGTCCTGGCTATTATAAACAGTGCTGCGATGAACATTGGGGTACATGTGTCTCTTTCAGATCTGGTTTCCTCGGTGTGTATGCCCAGAAGTAGGATTGCTGGGTCATATGGCAGTTCTATTTCCAGCTCTTTAAGAAATCTCCACACTGTTTTCCATAGTGGCTGTACTAATTTGCATTCCCACCAACAGTGTAAGAGGGTTCCCTTTTCTCCACACCCTCTCCAGCATTTATTGCTTGTAGACTTTTGGATAGCAGCCATCCTGACTGGTGTGTAATGGTACCTCATTGTGGTTTTGATTTGCATTTCTCTGATAATGAGTGATGTTGAGCATCTTTTCATGTGTTTGTTAGCCATCTGTATGTCTTCCTTGGAGAAATGTGATTGTGCATCTTAATAGTAAGCTGCCTTTCACATTTTGAATGACAAAAATTCATATAACGGTTATATATACACAGCTATTTTAAAAATCTACACATATTGATGGCAAATAATTTTGAAAATATGTGAAAGAGCAAAGTGCTTAAGAGTGTGAGCACTGTGTTGCGTTTGTAAAACGAAGAGCCGAGCTATACATGCATAGGTATATACAGAGTATTTCTGGAATTATGTAAAGAAAACTGATAACAGTAGTTGTCTCTGGGAAAGAGCAAAGGAGACAGATGGGAGGAAGGCTTATGTTTCACTTTATACCCTCTTGTGTTTTATGTTTCACTTTATACCCTTTTGTGTTTGTGTTTAAGTCCTTTTCTGTGTAATTTTTTTCAAGTTTTTCTTTTTAATTAGTAGATGCCTTGAAAGCTATTTTACATGATAGTGGCGTAAAAAATTTAAATAAGTCAATAAAAGTATATGAGCAAAGGCAATCATAAGAGAAAACATATGCTCTGTTAGAAAATAGACAGTGGTTCTTCTGTTGGGACCTTACTGAAAACTTCCAAACTTTAAGACACTTGAAATTTTAATTACCTCTTCTTTGAAAGCTGCTTTTTAGCTAATGTTCAATATCCAGTGGTCTGAAAACTGTAATGGTGATGAGAACTCTGGGTACTAATCTTCACATTCCCGAAGAGTATACCAAGAGATATTTGACAGGTCACATCTTGTCTTTCCTATTTTCTCCTACTAGAAAAGCTGGTAGATGAGTATTTTCTATCTAATGAAAGAGCTGTGGCAATCAACTAATCCTTATCAAGTGTTTTCAAAATAAATAAATTAAAAAACAAAAACTCTAACAAAAACAAAAAACAAAATAAAGCTAAGTGTTGTCTGGGAGGGTGAGGGAGTGGAGAAAGACAATGATTTTTCTCAAAATGGCCTACCACTTCGTGTTTGAAAATTCTAAATTCAAGTGCTGTTTGATGGGGGAAGCCCCCAAGCCCACTAAGTCCCAGAACCTGACAGAATTGACACACCCAATAAAATACTCACTATCATAATCAGAACACCCACCTGTTTCGCAAACACAAGGAGCAAAGCACCAGACTTCCATAGGCCTCAGTGAATTTCTGTAAAGCCCTCAGCCCTGCACCAGGCTCTGTGAATTTCTGTCTGGCTTCAGCAGCAGAGAACAGCTTTTCAGCAATCTGCTCAGGAAAGCCGATAAGGGAATCAATGTGGTCAACATTGTCAGAGATGAAGCCCAGGACAAGGCTGAAGAGGGATTTGGCAGAGTACCGAAGATTTCCCTCCCGGGTGTATGTGAAGATGAAATGATCAGTCTTCTCTTTCTGTGCAGTGTCATCTTCCCTGTTCATGCAAAGCTCCACAGAAAAGCCTTTGGGAAACAGTCTGAAAGGCCTTGGCTTCTGCAGGCTACTCCTAACGTCATCCAATGCCAGATTGACCATGTGCAGTTGCCCATTTTCTCGCACGTAGATGGGCCCTGAGTCCAGATGGTTTTCTGAGTTGAGGTAGTAAGACATTGCCTTGGTTGTGACTGTAAAAGCAAGGTACAAGGGAAGAAAACCCAATTAAAATGCCATTTGTAAAATGTAACTTCACCATGCTGTGCCCAGAGCTTTACGAGCCTACCAGGCAGGCCCACCAGCTGCTTCGGGGAAATCAAAGCTTACCAGTTGCTTGTGAACCCTGGTATACCTTGACCTGGAATGCCCGTTCCTACTCTTCCCCTTTTCTTGTCTGTCTGGTGAACTCCTATTCATCTCTCAAAAACCAGCTCAAATCTCATTTCTAAAATTCACTCTAGGGTTTCCCTGGTGGTTCAGTGGTTAAGAAACTGCCTGCCGATGCAGGGAGCATGGTTTCAATCCCTGGTCTAGGAAGATTCCACATGCCTCAGGGCAACTAACCCATGTACTCCAACTACTGAGCCCGCATATCCTACAGTCCATGCTTCTCAACAGAAGAAGCCACCACGGTGAGAAGCCTGAGCACCACAACAAGAGAGTAGCCCCACCTCGCCACAACTAGAAAAAAGTCCACTTAGCAACGAAGACCCAGCACAGCCAAAAATAAATAAGTAAATGAATAAGGAAAATTCACTCTAAGAGAGTTATCAAAGTAGAAGGCAGTCCCTGGCAAGGCAAGTCATGGTAGCACAGCTGACATTAGCAAAACAACTGAAAATAATCCCAGGGTCCAACAAGGGTATTATTACATAAATGTTACATCCACACCATGGAATGTTATGCATCCATCAAAATTCTAAAATTTTTATTGACTTGCAAGTTACAAATATTAATAGTAACATGTAGAATTTACTATTTATATTTTAAAATATGTTTTCACACAGAACAAATGCTAGAAACTAGTAACGCCCTTCCTTGCTACCCTGGCACCTTCCACACATTTCTTTATTATACTTGGCTGGCATTTTTGCTACTGATTTATTTCTAGGAGTGTTCTGCTGACCTGAGCTCCTTCAGGGCAGAGAGCATGTTTAATTCATTCACCCTAACATAGTGCTCTGGCATGTGATAGTCCCTGAGTAGACAGTCATGGAACTAAAGTTTACTCTTTTGCAAAACTTTAGAGAGAACACAAGCAACACATTTTTTTGGTTGGTTTTTTTTTGATCCACAAAGGCCTCCATCACAAGACCTAACTAAAAGCTATTAAGCTGAGATGCTAGATTCAAGGGCTAGAATAGTTAGCTCTCGTTCCTTAATTTCTTCAGTTAACAGGCATTTCTGAGGTAAGGCAAGATAGCAAAAACAGCAGGGTATTTATGCAATCATGTGGATGACATTTTATGCCCAAGTACTAATTGGAATGAATATTTGCTTTCCTGAGGAACTGTGAGATTTCAAAAATATTTGAGAAATTGCCATGCTAAATAAAATGAAGTATGATTATCACTGCTACAATTTGTAGGTAAAATTTAATGTAATACAGGTCAAATAGCTGCTATTATCTCTAAAAGACTGATTGACTTTTAGAGTGTACCAACCCAGCTTTGTCTGTATTAATGCAGGGCTAGAATGTAGCTCTGAATTCAGCCACTTAGAAGTGTCAATCAAGTCAGTGATCAAAAATGCTGAGGCTGGGAAGATCAAACAGGGATCCTGTTGCAGGCATCAGTATGATCCATGTTTCTCCAGAGGATAATTATGTGTGTAAAAGTACACCAGAAAAGAGGGCCCTGCCATGCCACGCCCAAGAGCCTCATTCTCTCCTGCTCATCTTATGCCTTACTCTCCGGCCAAGCCATACTCCTCAAATTAAGTTGGCTGTGTTCTCTCGTCCCACTGGCCTTTGCACATCCTGCTCCCTTTGGCTGGAACATCCTTCTCAGCTTCCCTGACCTAGCTGATTCCTAGTTCTCATTAACAGCTAGCTCAACAACATCCCTCTCCTGGGAAAACTTCCTAATCCCTGCACTAGTGCACATGTCTGTCTGGTTTTTCCAGAGCACCAATGTCTCTTTCTATATAGCACTTAGCACTGTGTACTATCTGTTCACTTGTTAGTATTTTCAAAGTTGTGAGCTCTTTGAGGGCAAGGCACTTGTTTGATTCCTCTCTCTTTTTTCAGGCCAACACAATGCCTAGCTTGAGTAAGCCCTCAGTAGATATTTGCTGAACCAAATGAGAGGAAGAGTGGGACCTCAAAAGAACAGACTTAGGGCTCTGAGCTGCAGGCCCTGCTGATACTGTTGCTAGGAGCCAGCTCCTCTTCCAGGCAACAGCTGCAGGCTCCTCCCCCAACTCGCCAGACCCTTCTGCAGGTGGTAGAAGCAAAGAGGATTATGGGAGTATATTGTTACTGGTACTACCAGGGAGGGGGGAAAAAAAGAATCTAAAAAAGAGAAAAAAAAATCCTGTCATGGTGCCAACTCTCATAACCCATACTGTTCCCAGCATTCAGTGCCTCTGCTAAGGTGATAATTTTACTTATTCTAAGCTTTTCTTCCAGGTGTAAGCACGTGGTTCCTTCAATCTCACAGAGTTTAATCCTGATGAGTAGACAAAGCAGATCCCCTTTGGTCTTGTTCTTTGGACTTGAACATTCATAGTCCTTCTCTACCTGTAGACCTGGAAGTACATACCAAGCACAGCCCCACGTAAGACTACCTGATTTTAAAAGTGGGAAGACAAAATTCTGTGGAGGTTAACATAAGGAATCAGCACACTATAAACCCCCTGGCAATGAAACAGGGTCTGCTCATATGTAGCACCCCTAGCCATCACTCCTAATAGTGCTGCCCATAGATTCTAGGGTAAAACGGACAAATGGATGAATGGAGGACCACTTCCGGTGAAAACCAGAAAACTGATTCCATCCAGCAGAGGGCACATGAGGTTGGGGACCAAAGTGAAGATGCTAACCCAGGCTGCCCAAAATCCCAGCAGCTTCTGCTTCCATGGATTTTTTTTTTTTTTTTGAACTTAAGTTTTCCGATCAGGAATTGAACCTGCACCCCTGCATTGAGAATCCAGAGTCTTAACCACTGGACTGCCAGGGAAGTCTCACATGAATCATTTTCAAAGCAGACATAGTTCTGGCTGTATTTTACCTTTACTTTTTTACTTAAATTTACTCATCAAATGCCAAGGGCTCTCTGTTCTTCAACTATGGTACCTGAGGAACAGACCATGATCAGGAAATTCCAGTGACCTTTGATTTCTACTACTAAATTTGTGCATCTTGCTCCCAACAAGGAGCAAGCTTCCTAAGAGTTTGTGAGGTACCATAAAATGACCTAAGAATTATATTAATGTTTAAGCCTTTCAAAGTTAAGAACTGTAAAGGCAAGAAAATTCCAAAGTTTCTGTAACTTGGCTCTACTTGTTCCTGGCTATTATACAGAGCGGTCTATTAGAAGGGAGCGCCTCAGGAGACAGAGCCTGTTCTATATCACGGCAAAAATCCTACACAACCGGGAAAGTTAAAGTAGTTAGTATGTGAAAGAATAACAATGTTCAGTGAAGGTCTGCATTAGCTATATTTCATATTAGAGCAACAGAATAACAAGGTAGCCTCTGATAGTTTTCCAGCCTGTCTCTGGAAAGGTGGTTCTGCAACCTATAAAATCTCATAGAAAACTATTACAATAGTACATGTTCTAGTATGCGGTCACCACAAATGAGCCAAAGTTACCATGAACATGTCATTTCATCAAATGAATAAAATGTAGCCTTACTACGTTAAAAATTCAATTCTCTACTGCCTCTTCGAATAAGAGGCAAGATAAAATAAGCGATAACTAAACATGACTTTTTAGAACTTGAAGTCAGTTCACCAAGCAAGAACCTTGACTATCCAGTAGAGGGGACTGGAAAGATGGGAGTCAGGGAAGCAGACTACAGGAGGCAATTAAAATTGTTACCTGAACCTACAGTTATGCAATTTGAAAAGAAAAAGAAGAAAACACCTAACTTTAGTAGGTAAAGTAAGGTACCAATCTCTCAGAAATAATAAAACATAGTAAGACTATGATGATAATAATAGTGGGTGTGATAGCTCCCACTGAGTTGCCAAGCACTGTTCGGTACTATATTAAAGGCAATCTCAACAATCCAATGAGGTAAGGTTCGCCATTTAATAGATAAAGGGGCTCAGAGACTAAAAGTAACTTACTTAAGAAACAACTACTAAGTGGCAGGGCCAGAATTCAATCTCAAAGCTGTATCACTCCAAAGCTCAAGCTCTTTCCAATGCATGATGCTGTCTCTCAAGAATAAAAATATGACATCAGCTTTAAGGATAAAAAAAAATGTTAAAAATTAATCTCACCCACCTGTTTGAACCCTCTGGTATTCACTGACTCAAGCTGGGGCGGGGGGGAGCTGCTGAGAGAGGGCAGAGATAAAAAAAAACAGTGGACATCTGAGAAAAGAGTTGGTGGGAACTGAGCCAGGACAATAGCTACACTGAAGCTTTCCCTCTTTCCTCTGCCAGGGCAGAAATTACCCATATCCACACACCAGGAAAACATCTGTCACTCCATGGCCTTCATCCCAAGGCTGCAGACACCCTCGGTTTATTTGAAAATGCAGTATTCTTAAGCAAATGTCTAACATAAAAACATGAACGGAAACTAGTTCCAAACCACCAATAACCAAGTACCAATCTTAGGTTTATTGTTCTGGATCACCACCATTATTCAATTTTCAATTCGTTTCTTTTGTTTTATAACTTGCACTTGCCCACCTACCTTCTCTCCCATACCTAGTTCCTTATTTGCCTCTTAGGAGAGGCCAATCTCTCCTACATCCTGACATCTGACAGCTTTTCTACCTGCCAACTGTAGAGCTTCTCACACAAAATCCAATCTCCGCACCAAAAATCCTAATCCTCTCCTTTCACCCACTCCCAACTCCCCTGCCCTCAACTCTCAAACCTCACACCCTTCCAGTCTTTGCACGATCCTTCTGAGTGTGGCTCCCGGTGGCCCAGATCCAATCACACCTTCACCTGGCTCTCCCTCTTTCCACCGCACCATTCCACCCCACCCTCCCTAACCCCCCTGCAACTCTTTCTGTCCTTTATCACGTAGTCTTCCCTTCTTCCCATTCTCTGACATTCCCTCTCCTGGGACTCCAAACTCTCCATCTTTTTCTTCGTCCTCTGCCCTCAACCTTCAAAACCTCCTTTCTTCAAGACTCACAATGTCCAACTTCACAGTCCACAGCCCTCCTTTCTTCAAGACTCACAATGTCCAACTTCACAGTCCACAGCCCCAACTTTTCTCCCCTGCCCCCCCCAACCCCACCCCTCTCTTATTCCAATCCTAGATCCTTTACTCCTAGCCCTCCTCAAATCCCATTCCCTCTCCCCCTCCCCAGGACTGCAATTCTCCATTTCTTTCTAAATTCCCAGGCGTGACCCTCCCCAAGTGCACCCAAGCTAATCCTGCTCCCTCTTCCCACCCAGGCCCCGAACGAACCTCAGTTCTCACACGCCCCATACCCTAGCCCAGCATCAACTCCACCCTTAAACCCATCTCTGACAACCCTAGATCCTCACCCTCACACCTTTCACCCAACCACACCCCAGCTCCGACCCTCTCGGTCTTCCCCTCCCCCCTCCCCCCCTCCCTCAAACCACACCCGCCCCCACTCGCAGCCCCGGGCTCCGTGAGCGGCCCAGCCCGCGGCCGCCACCTACCTGTGCCCCAGTCTGGGGCAGCCAGCGGCAGCTCCTCTGTGGCGGCTCCCTCCTCCTGCCGCGCGGCTGAGGCGGGGAAGCGGTTCCGCGCCCCCGGCACAAAGCTAGGGAGGGTGGGACACAGAGTGGGCGGGAGGAAGGAGCGGGCTGGGGGCGACCTGGCGCCGTGAGACCGCGGGGCCGGCGCGGGTGGGGGGGGCGGGGGGAAGACTGGGCTGGGTAGGCGCGCTTGCGCGAGACCCGGCATGAGGGGCGGGGTCGGGCTTGGAGGCGGGGCCGGGCCCAAGGCCGGCGACCTGAGGACCGAGGGCTCCGAGCTGGGAGATGTGAAGACTGCGCGTGCGTGCTCGCGCGAGGGCGGGTCGCGTGGGTCTCACAGGCCCCAGGGATCTAGCTTTGCTCGGTGAAGGAAGGTTACGTCTGCTCCGGCCCTTGCCTAAGGAAAGGTCCTTGCCTAGTGAAAGGCCCTTGGGCGGGGCTATGGAGCTCAACCCACGCGGTAAAGAGCATGGGGGCGTGGCCTGGGGGCGGGGCCTGCAGGCGAGGTGGTGCGTAAGAGAAGGGAGTACAGCTGTGCGCGACCGGATCTCGACTACTAGGCATGAGGGGGCGGGGATGGGGGCGGGCACGCAGCGCAGGGTGGGGCGGGGGTGGGCGGAGCCTGTGGGGCGGGGTGGAGCGTAGAGCCGGGAATAGGACTTGCTCGCCAGCGAACTCCTTGGAGGCCTGCGGAGAGGGGGGAGGGGCGGGGCTGAGGGCGGGGCTGTAGTGAGATCCCGACTCCCCGCGTTCCACGAGCTTGGAGCTAACCGGAAGCTGAGGCGAGCAGGGCGGTGCGGCCAGCCCTGGGGGAGGTGGGATCCTGACTGGACTAGGTCGTTGGAGGGGGATGCTTGTGGGGGAGGGAGCGACCGAGCTTGGCAGCTTATTGTGAGGAGACGCGCGGAGAGGAGGCGGAGGATGGCGGGCGGGTGCTGAGGGACCCGGATGGTGGAAGCCTGACGCAGGTCTGTTTTCTGAGTCCTGGAGACAGTAGTGGCAGCCCACGAACTTTTTGGAAGGCGGAAATAATGTTTTGACCCCCCCCAAAAGGGGAAATCAGTTCCGAATCGAAATTAATAAATGTATCAAGATGTAACCTATCAACTGGAACGTAACCCGTATACTTAAGGTTTATATTTGATGTATTAATAGGATATGGGCTCGTATATTTTATGTAATTGGGGCCGGGCGTCCAAAAGTATGTGTTTGGGGCTCTTGGAGGTCTTGAAATGGCTTTGAACTGGAGGTGAAAGGGTGGCTGAGTGGCACTGGGTTTAGAGGAGGATAGGCATCGGGGAAGTGCAGGGTAAGGGAATTTTTAAAATGCCAAGGATGGCGTCCCAGAGTTCACCGCCTTTAATGAACTGAGGCCCTGAGTGAACGCGAATGAGTTAAGTAAGGCCTCCCAGGATGGGGAGTTAGACTACACCCCGAACCTGCATTTTGGAGTTACAAAGCAGCATGTCTGCTGAGTTGTTTGGGGGGGTTCTTTAGGCTTGGTTTGCCTCTTTCTCCTTAACCACAGCAAAAAGCTTTAAAGTGAACCCAAATCTGCCACTTCTTTCTTGTTATTTGAATAATTCTACCCAACAGAGGAAAAAGGAAGGATATTGGTGGCTACAGGAGGTATGAAATGAGTTTTGTATTAAAGTTTGCTTCCTTCAGACAACTTAGGTTGTAAGAATGTGAGGTTAGAAGGAAACTGAACATTTGTAGATCACACTGTCTTCCTTATTCATCTACTACGTACACATTAATGCTAGATACATTTCCCTAAAATAACGCTTTTGTAAAGCAGGTTCTCTCTTCTCTCCTTGCTTTACAAGTCTCCAACCTCCACGTTTCCACCCCAAAGTAGATTACCGCAGGGTTTTCCCACCTCTACACTATTCACATTTTCAGTCAGATAATTACTTGTTTTGGGGGAGTGTCCTGTGCATTGAGGGGTTTTTAGTAGCATCATGAAATGCCCAAATGCTATTAGATGACAGTAGCATCACCCCCTCCCCCCACTATGGGCTTCCCTGGTGGCTCAGATGTAAAGAACCTGTCTGCACTGCAGGAGACCAGGGTTCGATTCCTGGGTAGGGAAGATTTCTGGGAAAAGGGGATGGCTACCGACTCCATTATTCTTGCCTGGAGAAGTCCATGGACAGAGGAGCTTGACAGAATACAGTCCATGGAGTTGCAAATAGTTGGACACAACTGAGCAACTAACACACAGCCCCCAGTATGACAGCCAGACTGCCTCCAGAAATGGACAGATGTACCCTGGGGGGATGCTAAATCATCCCCAGTCCAATTGTGAACCACTGGACCACAGGCTAAAGCCCCCTATCTTTACCTGGCTTTCAAGTTTCCTTATCTATGTTCCCTGGAATTTGATTCAGTCTGAAAGAACTCCAGTACAAGTTTCTTTCAAAGATAATCACTTCGTCTTCTTGGACACTTTAAAGGGTGGAAAAGATTAAAAATCTCCTTCGTAGTAAAGTTCTTATATCTATCATGTCTTCCTTCTTAAAATTCATACTAGAGTTGCATTCTAATCCTTTTTCTATTTATGAATATTTGTGGTATTAAAACTTGTAGTCACATTTCTCTCACTAAATTACCTCTTCTTGAAACGATATTCTTTGAGCTTTTTCCATATTAGCATAGTTTATAGATCATCATGAACTTTTTGTTCTCTGAACAATATCAAGCCTGACAATGTCCTACTTAAATTGTACTACCTAGAACTGAACACAGTATTCTAGATGTGGATCACACTATTTGCACATAACAATTAGTTTCATGCTTGGCCATCTTCTGGACTCTGAGCTTAAAGGCAAAAACCAAGTCTTAGTCACAGTCTTTGTCTTAGGTGTACATAGTCGAAGATTACTACATAGTATCTTTGCATTACTAGCACAGTGCCTGGCCCTTATTTGGTTTTCAAAGATTTTGATAGAATGTAATAGTTCCTTCATAACTCTATTAATACAATTTGAAGTAACATTTCCTTTGCCTTTGGGGGCAGATACAGTACACTGTTGCTTTATAGTGAGTTTGCAATCAACTGATCCTCTACCTTTTATACGTACAGATGAAAAGTTGGCAAACTTTTTCTCTTTAACGGGCCAGATAATAAATATTTTAGGTTTTATGAGCCTTATGGTTTGTCACAGCTATTCTGCTCTGTCACTATAGCACAAAAGTATGTGGCCATTTCCAATAAAACTATCCATGGACACTGAGCTGTGTGCATTTCATATTTCATATAATTTTCATGTGACACAAAATACTTTGATTTTGAAAAATACTTTAAAATGTATAAAGCATTCTTAGTTCATGGACCATACAAAACCAGATGTCAGGGTAGACTTGGCTCTCAGGCAGTAGTCGGCCAATCCCTGATCAAGATCATTCCTGGTGTGACCGACTTTTTAAAGTCTGAGTATAGGCCTTTACTATTTTTTTTTTTCTTTTTTCTATTTTTTTTTATTAACAAGCAAAATAAAAATTAAAAAACAACAACACAACAACAAAAACCTTAAAGTTGGAACTGCAATAAGTCAAACTGCTGCTGGAGTTCACAGATGTACCTGGGGTACATGCTCCCTCACTGCAAGGCAGGACCTAGGCACATAACTGTGCATTTAGGTATACAGGTGACCAGGAAGAGTCAAAGAGGTGGAAACCACTGGAGAACAGAAAGCATCACAAGCTTTTCATCAGGCAATTCCAAAGCGCTCTGCTCTTTTCCTCTTCTTTGCCTCTGTATCCTCTGTGGTTCCTGTTCCAGCTGAACTTGTGACAATCCCAAATCGCTCCTTCCTCTTTTTCAGCTTTTCGTCATCCTCCGACTTTCTGGAGATTGAAGAGACATTCAAACCAAACCTTTGAGCTCTTTCTTTTAGCTTATCCATGTTAACCATAGGCTTGGTATCAGACGACAGACCTTTTGATGGAACTGGAGAAATACCAAATCTAGCTGCCCGGGCAGCTTTCTTACTCTCCAAACTCACAGGTACATTGAATCGTTCAGCTATCTTCTGCATCCTCTCAGTCTGTGGTATTTCAGATGTAATTTTTACCACTTTTTTCTCTGCTGCCACATCAACAGTTTTTTCAGGAGGTTCTTCCTCTTTGACAGGCAGTTCTAAGGGCTTTGGTTCTTCTTCCTCTGTTTCATCTCCCAGTACATCTTCTTCATTTGCCTCCTCTTCAGCATGCTCTTCAAGATATGCCTGGAGCCTGTTGATGAGATCTTGTTTTATTCCCTTGGTCTCCAAACCACGAGCAAGGCACTCCTGCTTTAGTTCAGCAAGCTTCAGCTTATGAAGCTCCACCGTCTCAGTCGCCATCTTGTTACCCCTCCACTCCGCCAGCCTATTCTTTTTAAATATCTTATTCATTGCAGTCTGTCTTTCTAGCTTGCTCAGATCTTTTTGTGTGCTAATTGTGTCATCTAGCATATTAGCTGACATCCCAGTTTTGTGTCATCTGCAACATTGATAAACACTTTTTCCATCCTTAATTAATAAAAATGTTGAATGCGATAAGGATAGAGGTCTTCACAATTCATTCTGTTCCATTAATCATTCTTTGAGTATAACCATTCTGAGAAATAAATATCTACCTAAAGTACTGCCTATCACCCATTCATGTTTATTCAGCTAGTCCACAGGGTATCTTGAGATACCTGGTCTGAAGTTTGTTGAAATGTTCAGAAATATCTCTGATAGGTAGTAACTCTATCAAACAAACAAAAATAAATATTTAAGTTTGGTATAACTTTTGAATTAATGTTAGTGTTGCTTTCCAATTTTGCTACTTTCTTGTTTAGATTTTCAAAGCCATGCTTTTAATAACAATAAACTTTTGTAATTTTAGAATTTTGTTGAAAATTATCATCCAAGTACTTCAATCTTTATTTCCAGGAATTTACCAGATTTCTAGTCCTCAAACTAAGGGTTAAATGTTCATGCAAGCCAGTTTCCTGGTATCAGTAGTATTAAAAGCTGTTATAAAATTGGCAAGAAAAAAGGAAAAATAAAAACATACTAGCATAGATGCCTTTTTTCTTGACCAATCTTACCACAGTTTTTTAACAGTATCAATACTAGATTTTATCAATAGAATTACAATAGAAAATGAACTTCATGCCAATAAACAAAAACTAGGAAGAAATAGATAATTTTGTCAGAATATAGATTTCAAAATTGGCTCAGGAAGGTATCGAAAGCCTGAAAAGAACTGTTGAAATAATAAAAAATCTACACACAAACATTACTGAACTTATAGGATCCAATAACCTAGCAAACAGAAAAATAAGGGAAACTTTCTGACTTCTTTATGTTACAGAAAAATAAGGAAACTTTCTGACTTCTTTATGTTAGGGGCACAGTCTAAATTCCAAACCCAGACATGAACTAAATAACAACAACAACAAAAATTATAGGCAAATTTCACTTAGAAATATATTTGCAAAATTTCTGAAAATACTAGCAAACTAAATCCAACTATGGATAAAAATACTAATATTATACCTTGTCCATGTAGATAGACTTTATGCTACAAACTGGGGATGCTATAACATTAGAAAATCTTGATTTATCACATTAGCAACATGTACAAACATCTATATGATGACTTTAGTAAATGTTAGAAGAGCATTTGATAAAATTCAATGTTCATTTGTGTTTAAAAGAAAAAAAAGAACAAACTAAAGGAATTTCTGTAACCTAATGAACAGTGTCTGACAGAAATCTTCAGTGAGCATCACATTTAATGGTGAAATGTTAGAAATATTTGTTGTATGGTAAAGAATAAGACTTTAAAAAAATAGTTTTTTTTTAAGATCCCATTTATGTAATAATGGAAACTATAAGGTGTCTAAGAGTGAATCTTATAATAAAGGTGAAGATATGTTTGTAGGAAACTATATAGTTTAAGGACTTAAAAGAAGTCTTAATGAAAAGATATTCCAAATCCATGTATTTGAAAACTCATTATCATAAACATGTTTCTTCTTTCCAAATTATAGACTTATAATGGAATTGAATCCACAACAGATTGAATTCAATCTATAATGGATGTAATCCACATCTCAAAAAATATTTTAATATAATTTAATAAAACTGTTTGTAATAATGTATAAAGAATAGAACCAAAAACCATTTGGTTTTAAATAGGAGAAAATTTCAATAGGGGAATTTACCTGATGAGATACTAAGATTTTATTCTATCTTATACTGTCCTTTTACTTTGTTATTTAGAGTGTGTCTCTTGAAAAGAGTACTTAGGTTTTTTTTTCCTTCAGTCTGATAATACAGTATTTGATTTACTAACATTTAATGGAATAATCTGTGTATTTGTATTTAAATCTGTCTTCTAGTAATTTATTTTCAATTTGTCCCATCTTAATTCTTTTTTTCTTTTCTGTCTTTCAAATTTATCATGTATTTTATGGTATTCCAATTTTTCTTCTCTGTTGACCTCCTTCCTGTAACTCTTTATGTGTTTTTTTTAGTGGTTGCATTATCCTAATTCTAGGATTATAGCATGTATCCTCACCATATTACTCTACTTTGAATTAATAGCGTGTCACTTCATGTTCAACATTAGAACTTTACAAAAAGTACAACCTCATTTGTCTTTCTCTTTTGTGTTATTAGTGTATCTGTTACTTTCATCTGTTAAATTTCCACCGGTCCTTGATATTATTTTTTCTTCAGTCAGTAGTCTTATTTTTTTGGCCCCGCCACACAGCAGTGCAGGATCTTAATAACCTGACACACAGGGATCAAACCTGGGCCCCCTTCGGACTTCTCTGGCAGTCCAGTGGTTAAGACCCTGCTTTCAGTGCAGGGCATGGCTTTGATTCCTGGTCAAGGAGCTGACACCCCACATTCTGGGTAGTACAGCCAAGAGATTTTTTTTAAAAAGGAAAAAGAATGTTTGAAAAAAGCACTGCATCCCCTACAGTGGAAGCATGGAGTCTTAACCACTGGACCACCATGGAAGCCCCCTAGTTAGTAGTCTTTTAGGAATTTTAATAATATTCCTTATGTTAGAAGTAAATATATTTACCATCTTTAATGCTCTTCATTCCTTCCCACAGATCTGGAATTCAACTAGGAATCATCAAGTACTTCATTTAATATTTTTTGTACTGTGGGTCTGCATGCTGTGCTAAGTCACTTCAGTTGTGTCCAACTCTTTGCACTGATAACAAATATTTTCAGTTTTTGTCTTTATTTTGCTGTCACTTTTAGAGGATATTTTTATTGAATATAAGATTCTATGTTTTTTCTTTCGGCACGTCAAAGATGTCATTCCATTATCTTTTGGCTTCCACTGGTAATGATGAGAAGTCAGCTTTGATTCTTCTTGTTGTTTTCCTGCATGTAAGATATTTCTTGTTTGACTGCTTTTAATTTTTTCTCTTTCTTTAATTTTCAGCAGTCAACTAAGGTGTGCCTTGGTGGGATCTTCTTTGTATTTATCCAACTTAAGTTTCACTGAACTTCCTGGATCTGTGGGTTTATGTCTTTCATAGATTTTGGATATTTTTCAGCCATTTCACTTTAAATTATTCATCTATATCACCCTCTTTTTTTTCCTCTTCTGGGATTTTGATTACATGTATTGATATTTCAAACTAGTTTGATATTGTTTCACAGGTACATGGTGCTCTGTTTTGTTTTCAGTTTCCCCCTACTCTGTTTCATATTGGATTCTTTCCATTGACCTATTTTAAAGTTCACTGACCTTTTCTTGTGTTGTGTCTAATATGATGTTAAACCCATCAAGTGAATTCTTTGTTTCAGATATGGTATTTTTTCAGTTCTGGAATTTCCATTGTGTTTCTTTTAATAGTTTACATTTCTCTGCTAATTCCCTTACTGTTCACTCATTTTGTCCATCTTATCACTGAATTCACTAGTCAATTTATAATTCAAGCACCTGGGTCATCTGTAGTTCTGCTTCAAATGGCTTTTTTTTTTGCTAAGTTTTTGTTTTTTAGAAAAGGTTTTATTTTTTAATTTTTATTGAAGTATAGTTGATTTACAAAATTATTTTCATCTCAAGTGGATAGCATAGTGGTTCAGTATTCTTATAGATTATAAGTTATAACTCCATTAAAAGTTATTAAAAGATAATGGCTATAATTCCCTGTGCTATTCAAGTGATTTTGTGTGTTTGACACTGTGCTTAAGAGCAACAGATAACTGAAGTAGGTGATTTTTTTCCCAGAGAGAACACAACATTTTCTTTGTCTAATAGCTAGGATAAGAGATCACGTCAGTCCAACTAAGGGTTATACTAGGATTGGATCAAGTTGTAGTGTTATTTTAATAATTTCAGCTTACCTCTGATTTCACATATTTGAGAGTGAGATCAGTTCCTTCCTTCATCAGAGCTTAATCTAAGTACCCAAGACCATAGAAACCTTTTTTTGCTTTTTAGCTCACCCCCAGTTTCCTGTGAAACTCCACTTAGGGGTTGATTTCCTAGATCTTATTTGGAGTTGAGCTGGGTGGGGACTGGGATACTCAGTTGCATTTCAATTCTGCTACACATAACAACATGGGTAAATCTCAGACACATTATGATGAGTGAAAGAAGCCAGATATAAGTGAGTACCAACTATATGATTCCATTTACATGAAGTTAAGGCAAAATTTATTGTGTTAGAAATAAGGACCATGCTACCTTTGGGAAGGAGAAAAGGGTAGTGACTCGGAGAGGGCATCAGAAGGCCTGTCTCACATGCTGGTGACACTCCATTCCTTTGTCTGGGTGGTGGTTAAGTGGGTGTGTTTGTTTACCTTGTGAAAATCTATTGGACCGTATACTTCTGATTTGTGTTCTTTTCTGTATGTATGTTGTAGTTAAAAAACAAAGTAGGTGTGTATGATGGAGGAGAAACTCTTGCACACACACACAAAAACAACAACAACAAAAAACAAAGTTAAAAAGAAAAATCAAGCTATAGTATAGAAGATATTTGCAATGCTGTAACAAAATATTTGTATCCAGGACATTTTATTTTAAAATTTTCTACAAATCAAAAAGAAAAGGGCAGAAGGAAAAATAGAAATCTAATAGAAAATGAGCAAAAGATAAGAAAAAGCAAATAAGAAGAGGCCTGAGTGGCCCGTGAACATGAAAAGGTATTGAACCTCATTAGTAATCATGGAAATACAAGTTAAAACCTTACTAAGATACCGTTTCACACCAATGAGATTGACCAAAACTGTCTAACAATACCAAGTTGGTGAGAATATGAGGGAGCAGAAACTTTCATACACTGTAAATGATACTATATTAAATTTAGAGATCAAATAATCAATTATTGACTTGGAGATATACCAATTCTAAAGTTCTACAATTTTACTTCTACAAAGAAAAATACACTTTATTATAAAGATTTTCTCCCACACGTGCCTATGGATACATGCATAAAGATGTGCATTATAAATTTGTTTATAATAGCAAAGAATTGGGAACAGACCTAAATAACCATCATTAGAGAAATGGAGAAATATTTTACAGCAGTTAAAATGAACAAAGTAGATTTACATCAACATAATAAAATCTTGAAGACATAATATTGAATGAACAAAGCAAGTAGCAAGGGATATATACACCATGAAAACATCTTAATTTTATTTTATTTTATTTTTTTCCATTTATTTTTATTAGTTGGAGGCTAATTACTTTACATCATTGCAGTGGGTTTTGTCATACATTGAAATGAATTAGCCATGGATTTACATGTATTCCCCATCCCGGTCCCCCCTCCCACCTCCCTCTCCACCCGATCCCTCTGGGTCTTCCCAGTGCACCAGGCCCGAGCACTTGTCTCATGCACCCAACCTGGGCTGGTGATCTGTTTCACCCTAGATAATATACGTGTTTCAATGCTGTTCTCTTGAAACATCCCACCCTCGCCTTCTCCCAGAGTCCACAAGTCTGTTCTATACATCGGAGTCTCTTTTTCTGTTTTGCACATAGGGTTATTGTTACCATCTTTCTAAATTCCATATATATGTGTTAGTATACTGTAATGGTCTTTATCTTTCTGGCTTACTTCGCTCTGTATAATGGGCTCCAGTTTCATCCATCTCATTAGAACTGATTCAAATGAATTCTTTTTAATGGCTGAGTAATATTCCATGGTGTATATGTACCACAGCTTCCTCATCCATTCGTCTGCTGATGGGCATCTAGGTTGCTTCCATGTCCTGGCTATTATAAACAGTGCTGCGATGAACATTGGGGTACATGTGTCTCTTTCAGATCTGGTTTCCTCGGTGTGTATGCCCAGAAGTGGGATTGCTGGGTCATATGGCAGTTCTATTTCCAGCTCTTTAAGAAATCTCCACACTGTTTTCCATAGTGGCTGTACTAATTTGCATTCCCACCAACAGTGTAAGAGGGTTCCCTTTTCTCCACACCCTCTCCAGCGTTTATTGCTTGTAGACTTTTGGATAGCAGCCATCCTGACTGGTGTGTAATGGTACCTCATTGTGGTTTTGATTTGCATTTCTCTGATAATGAGTGATGTTGAGCATTTTTTCATGTGTTTGTTAGCCATCTGTATGTCTTCCTTGGAGAAATGTCTGTTTAGTTCTTTGGCCCATTTTTTGATTGGGTCATTTATTTTTCTGGAGTTGAGCTGGAGGAGTTGCTTGTATATTTTTGAGATTAATCCTTTGTCTGTTGCTTCGTTTGCTATTATTTTCTCCCAATCTGAGGGCTGTCTTTTCACCTTGCTTATAGTTTCCTTTGTTGTGCAAAAGCTTTTAAGTTTCATTAGGTCCCATTTATTTATTTTTGCTTTTATTTCTAAAATTCTGGGATGTGGGTCATAGAGGATCCTGCTGTGATTTATGTCGGAGAGTGTTTTGCCTATGTTCTCCTCTAGGAGTTTTATAGGAAAACATCTTAATTTTAAAAGAACAGTCCATACTGATGTATGCTCACTCTTTTCACCCCAGTACTGTAGTCCACCAGGCTCCTCTGTCCATGGAATTTTCCAGGCAAGAATACTGGAGTGGGTTGCCATTTCCTCCTCCAGGGGATCTTCTTGACCATATATGATAAAAGTATAAAAATAATAGGGACTTCCTTGGCAATCCAGTGGTTAAGACTCCACACTTCATGGGGAATTAAGATCCTGCGTGCCACACAACATAGCCAATAAATAAAAATATAGTCAGGAAGAATATTCCCCAATTTCAGAATAGCTATTACCACTGGGCAAGGAAAGGAATAAGGACAAAAAAAGTATATATGGCAAAACATTAACATTTATTAAATCTGGGAAGTTGGTATATAGTTATTTAATATATGTAATATTCACTGTACCCTCTTGTTTATTTGAAATAGTTTTTTTGGTTTTTTTTTAAGTTAGACACTTGGGCCAGCATATGAAGTGTATTGGAAGCCTTTCTCTCTATTCCAAACACTGTTCATCTTTTTAATTCTTTACAGATACAGCTTTCGCTGTCACTTTGCATCTATATATTGCTTTGTGCCCTATCACCAGCAGATCAAGTAGGAAGGTGAGTTTTGATGTAATCTCCTCTTCTTCCTTCTGTCTTACCCTCAGGGTTCATGGAAGAGCGCAACAATATCTTTTTCAATGTGCTTTTTTAGCAAACTTCAAATACTACTCTCAGAAATGTCTTTAAGTTCATGAACCAAGTGACTGATTTAGAATGTAATAGTAAGTGAAAGGTTGCCTTCTCTCTTATTTCACATTTCTGCTAAAAAAAATGATGATGGGTATTTTTAAGATTTAAATAATGTTGCTGACTACGTCAGTTGATAAGTGTATTAAATAGTTACAAAGTCTATTTTTATGCTCTGCATATTTTAAATTTCAGAAATATAACAATACAGATACTTTTTAAAAAACTTACCAAGTCATGTTATTCTAGCTTATTAACTGTTTCCAGATAATTATTGAGGATTTTTAATTTTAGAAGCAGAAAAATTATGTCAGTATCAGGGACTTGTTTTGTGGAGTAGAGTATTGGAAGTACTCATATCTTACAGATTATCCCTGGGAGAAGTCAGAAGTTTACTTATGTAAATAAACATGCTAGAGTCCCTCCCACTTTTTGAATAACTTGGTTGTTAAGCTGTGTGCTAGGCAACAGACTTTCTGTCTCTTCCTTTTCTCAGATGAAGTTCAGAGAATAAAAAAGTTGTTTTTGTTGTTACCGTTTTGTTACTGTTTTACTTGCAGATTAAACACTTGAAGATGAGAAAAGTTGATCTTTGTTTAAGCTCTGAAGGGACTGAAGTTATTTTAGCTACATCAAGTGATGAAAAACACCCACCTGAAAATATGATTGATGGGTAAGAGTTACTCTTTTTTCTTCCTTAAAGTCTTAACATTAGGTCAGTGAACCCTATAAGTACTAAGATTACGTATTTTACAACTAGCACTGTTAAGCATAGTTTAATAAATGTTTGGTGAACTAAATTACTTGATTACCCACTTTAGTACCATCCTGGAGCTAGTTCAGTTGCGTATATTTAGGTTTTTTATTATTTTCTTTATAATTTCTAAACTGAATTTCTTCTGAAAATAGTTATTTAAAATATAGTCTGTCAAGGCAAAACTTCAAACAACAGCCACCTCATTTTTGGGAAGTATACATTTTAATATCTGGTTTTATTCCAAATTTTTATTGGTAAATAAGAATGTAAACATTACAACTTCCTACCTCCTGCCTGTTTTCTTTCTAGTCTAAGCAATTTTTGCTGAACTGACTGCTTCACTTCTTGCTATCCACCTGCATTTTTCAGTTCTTAGCTTTTTGATATCATTCCAGTTATCACTCTTCACTGTGCTAGAACTTATTCTAGATAGAGACTTTTAAGTGCTAAGAAAAAGGTAAATGGTTAATGGAAGAACTCCTTTTAAAAAAAAAACTGAGGTGTGTAGGACTTCCCTCAAGGTCCAATAGTTATTACTCCTCGATTCCCTATAGGGGCCGAGAATTTGATCCCTAGATGGGGAACTAAGAGCCCACATGTCACATGGTGCAGCAAAAAACACAAACTTTTAATTTTAATTGAGGTGTAATTGATTTACAGTATCATGTAAGTTCAAGTGTACAGTGTAGTGATTCACAATTTGAAAGGTTATATTCATGTATAGTTATTATAAAATATTGGCTATAATCACCATGTTACACAATATATCCTTGGAGCTTATTTATTTTATTCATAGTAGTTTGTACCTCTTAGTCCCTACCCTATCTTGCCCCTCCCCACTTCCCTCTCCCCACCAGTTTGTTCTCTTTATCTGTAAGTCTCTTTCTTTTTTGTTACATTCACTAGTTTGCTTTATTTTTAGATTCCACGTGTAAGAGGTTCACAATATTTGTCTTTCTCTCTCTGACTTGTTTCACTAAGCAAATAACCTCCCAAGTCCATCCAGGAAGAACTCCTTTTTTAGTAGTTCTGGCTACTTTATTACCCTCTTGAGTTCTCTTTCTTGATATTTGTACAGTGATCTGAGTTTGACTCATAGAATCATATAATTTTAGAGCTGGAAGAAATTATGCGTTCATCTTATCTAAATCTTTCGTTTAGACTTGTGGTAAGAGAGGTCTAGAGAGGTCAGGTACTAGTTCTAACTATTGAGAGCAGAGCCAATTGTAACATAGATCTTGTGGCTGTTCATGTTCTATTGTGAAGTCCATGTATCTGTATAAAATTCTAGAAAGTGGACCTGTTCTTTAAGCCCAGTTATTATCTCCTCTCTGACATCTGTCCCTTCCTTCAGGTAGGCTGCTTTACCTTTTTTTTTTTTTGCTTTACCTTTTTGTTTGGCTCCAGTAGCATTTGATATTTACCTCTATTACCTTATTTATTCTTTTGTTGTATAATTATTTTTAATGTACTGCTCCTCTCTCAAATGGAAGTTTCTAGAAATCATGACACTAAGACTTACTCATCTTTGATTCCACAGTGTCTTAAAATATTTGTCGAATAGCTTGTGAATTCAGAGAAAGCAGCGGCACCCCACTCCAGTACTCTTGCCTGGAAAATCCCATGGAAGGAGGAGTGTGGTGGGCTAAGAGTCCATGGGGTCACTAAGAGTCAGACACTACTGAGCGACTTCACTTTCACTCATTGGAGAAGGAAATGGCAACCCACTCCAGGGTTCTTGTCTGGAGAATCCCAGGGACAGGGGAGCCTGGTGGGCTGCCGTCTATGGGGTCTCACAGAGTTGGACACAACTGAAGCAACTTAGCAGCAGCAGCAGCTTGTGAATTAGATCATCAAAGATTAGTCATACATACAGTCACACATACTTACATGTATGCATCTGTTAATGTACGTTTGCATAGAGCTTTATAGTTTCATAGATGTTATACTATTTGACCCTTACAGTAAGCTTGGGGAATAAGAGGCAAAAAAAAAAAATCTTTTTTTCAACCTCATTATAAGGACAACAAAAAAGATGACTAGAGGTAAAATGATTTTCTCAAAATCACACAGATAAGCAAGTGGCAGAATCAAAACTAACACTCGTGTCTTCTAACTCCCAATTTCTCAGACTTAAGGTTTGAATAAAAAACTTAATATACATGCCTCTTAATCCTTAATTTTTTACTTCCTGAAATTCAGGTAATAGTTATTTAACCCCACTCTGCCTTAGAAAAGAGATATAAATGTGGAAACTGCTATGGGGGGGTCACAGACCTATAGAAATTTACCTTAAGTTGTTTGCCAGAAATGGTGATCTTTCTAAAAATACTTCTTGTCTTTGACTGGAATAAATCACATTTCCAAGGTAATATTAATTTACCTTATACTTTTTTGTGATCTTTCTTTCTCAGGAGTTTGTCTGTAGATCATTTAGATTGGCTATTACTCATAATGAATAATATATAGTATAGCTTTATCAGTCCATGTTAATGAGTAAGTATGTAATATTTTTTAGATTAGACAAAACTCCGTAGTATAGCAGAGTTTTGCCGAAAGAATGCACTGGTCATAGCAAACATGGTGTTCCAACAACACAAGAGTTGATTCTACGTATGGACATTACCAGATGGTCAGATTCATTATATTCTTTACAGTCGAAGATGGAGAAGCTCTATACACTCAGCAAAAACAAGACTGGGAGCTGACTGTGGCTCAGATCATTAACTCCTTATTGCCAAATTCAGACTTAAATTGATGAAAGTAGGGAAAACCACTAGACCATTCAGATATGACCTAAATCAAATCCCTTAACGATTATACAGTGGAAGTGACAAACAGATTCATGGGATTAGATCTGATAGAGTGCCTGAAGAACTGTAGACAGAGGTTCATGACATTGTACAGGAGGCAGTGATCAAGACCATCCCCAAGAAAAAGAAATGCAAAAAGGCAAAATGATTGTCTGAGGAGGCCTTACAAATAACTGAGAAGAGAAGCTCAAGGCAAAGGAGAAAAGGAAAGATAAACCCATCTGAATGCAGAGTGCCGAAGAATAGCAAAGAGATAAAAAAATCCTTCCTCAGTGATCGATGCAAAGAAATAGAGGAAAACAACAGAATGGGAAAGACTAGAGAATCTTCAAGAAAATTAGAGATACCAAGGGAACATTTCATGCAAAGATGGGTACAGTAAAGGACCGAAGTTGTATGGACCTAACAGAAGCACAAGATATTAAGAAGAGGTGGCAAGAATACACAGAAGAACTACACAAAAAAGATCTTCACAACCCAGATAACCACGATGGTGTGATCACTCAACTAGAGCCAGACATCCTGGAGTCTGAAGTCAAGTGGGTCTTAGGAAGCATCACTACTAACAAAGCTAGTAGAGGTGATGGAATTCCAATTGAGCTATTTCAGATCCTAAAAGATAATGCTGTTAAAGTGCTGCACTCAGTATGCCAGCAACTTTGAAAAACTCAGCAGTGGCACAGGGATGGAACAGGTCAGTTTTCATTCCAATCCCAAAGAAAGGCAATGCCAAAGAATGTTCAAACTACCGCACCATTGCACTCATCTGACACGCGAGCAAAATAATGCTCAAAATTCTCCAAGCCAGGCTTCAACAGTACGTGGACCGAAAAGTTCCAGATGTTCAAACTGCATTTAGAAAAGGCAGAGGAACCAGAGATCAAATTGCCAGTATCTGTTGGATCATCAAAAAAGCAAGAGAGTTCCAGAAAAACATCTACTCCTGCTTTTTTGACTGCACCAAGGCCTTTTACTGAGTGGATCACAACGAACTGTGGAAAATTCTTCAAGAGATGGGAATACCAGATCACCTTACCTGCTTCCTAAGAAGTCTGTTTGCAGATTAAGAAGAAACAGTTAGAACTGGACATGGAACAACAGACTGGTTCCAAATTGGGAAAGGAGCACATCAAGGCTATATATTGTCACCCTGCTTATTTAACTTATACGCAGAGTACATCATTCGAAATGCCAGGCTGCAAGAAGCACAAAATAGAAACAAGATTGCCAGGAGAGATATCAATAACCTTAGATATGCAGATGACACCGTCCTTATGGCAGAACGCGAAGAACTAAAGAGCCTCTTGGTGAAAGTGAAAGAGGAGAGTGAAAAAGCTTGCTTAAAACTCAACATTCAAAAAACTAAGATCATGGCATCCAGTCCCACAACTTCATGGCAAATAGATGGGGAAACAGTGGTAACAGTGACAGACTTTCTTTTCCTGGGCTCCAGAATCACTGCAGATGGTGACTGCAGCTATAAAATTAAAAGACACTTGCTCCTTGGAAGAAAAGCTATGACAAACCTAGACAGCATATTAAAAAGCAGAGACATTACTTTGCTGACAAAGATCTGTCTCGTCAAAGCTATGGTTTTTCCAGTAATTATGTATGGATGTGAGAGTGGGACCATAAAGAAAGCTGAGCGTGGAAGAATTGATGCTTTTGAACTGTGGTGTTGAATATTCATTGGAAGGACTGATGTTGAGGCTGAATATTCATTGGAAGGACTGATGTTGAGGCTGAAACTCCAATACTTTGGCCACCTGATACGAAGAGCTGACTCATTTGAAAAGACCCTGATGCTGGGAATGACTGAGGGCAGGAGGAGAAGGGGGCAACAGAGGATGAGATGGTTGGATGGCATCACCAACCCGATGGACATGAGTTTGAGCAAGCTGCAGGACTTGGTGATGGACAGGGAAGCCTAGCATGCAGCCGTCCATGGGGTCACAAAGAGTCGGACACAAATGAGCAACAGAACTAAACTGATAGAAAACTATATGGAATAAAGTAGTTACTAACCTGATATATGAACAGAGCATATCAGAGACTTAATTCATATCCATTTCCAACAAATCCAGATAGACTTTATATGGTAGA